TCATACACTGCTGGTGGGACGGCAAACTAGTGCAACCTCTATGGAAAGCAATATGAAGATACCTTAAAGAGATAGAAGTAGATCTACCATTTGATCTAGCAATCCCATCGCTGGGCATCTACCCAAAAGAACAAGAGACATTCTGTAAAAAAGACATCTGCACTCAAATGTTTATAGCAGCACAATTCACAATTGCAAAAATGTGGAAACAACCCAAGTGCCCATCAATACAAGAGTGGATGAATAAAATGTGATATATGTATACCATGCAGTACTGTTCAGCTATAAGAAACAATGGTGATATAGCACCTCTTATATTTTCCTGGTAGAGCTGGAACTCATTCTACTAAGTCAAATATCCCAAGAATGGAAAAATAAGCACCACATGTACTCACCAGCAAATTGGTTTCAGTGATCAACACCTAAGTGCATATATAGGAATAACATTTACTGGGCATTGGGCAGATGGAAGGGGGAGGAGGGAATGGGTATATACATACATAATGAGTTTGATGCACACCATCCGGGGGATGGACACGCTTGATTAAGCTCTTACTGGTGGAGAGGGGGGGACAAGGGCAACATATGTAACCTAAACATTTGTACCCCCATAATATGCTGAAATAACTTAAAAAAGGACATCATAATGGATATCAAAAGAAATACAAAGAATCAGTAGAGACTACTATGATCAAATATGTGCAAATAAATTTGAAAACCTAGAGGAAATGGATAGATTCCTAGACTCATACAACCTACTAAAATTAAACAAAGAAATAGAAAATCTGAACAGACCAGTCCAAGTAATGAGATTGAATAACAATGGAAAGGCCTCTAACAAAGAAAAATCCAAGACAGATGACTTCACCACTAAATTCTACCAAACCTTTAAAGAATAATTAATACCAATTCTTATCAAACTAAGTTATCTAATGTTTGACAATTGTTGCTAGTATTCCTTTATTATATTTATAATATACATACGCCATAAGATTTAAAGTTATTTAAATACATATGTAGAGATAAACTATTTTAAAACTCCTTTTTGTGTATTGCTATATCCTAGATAATTTTTCTTGTCAATTATATTCTCTTTCATTATTTCTCATGGGTACCTGTGGGAAGTGTTCATGGATTTCAGAAGTCAGTCTTTACCTGTCTGCCATCAGGAAAGTTCTGGGCAGAAAGTGAGGGGTTCCCATGATGCTGGGGGAACAGTCAGAGGGGCTCCATACTGACAGAGTAGGATCTAGAAACACCGTACAGCCGGGCGTGGTGGCTCACGCCTGTAATCCTAGCACTCTGGGAGGCCGAGGCGGGCGGATTGCTCGAGGTCAGGAGTTCAAAACCAGCCTGAGCAAAAGTGAGACCTCATCTCTACTATATAGAAAGAAATTAATTGGCCAACTAATACATATAGAAAAAATTAGCTGGGCATGGTGGCACATGCCTGTAGTCCCAGCTACTCGGGAGGCTGAGGCAGTAGGATCGTTTGAGCCCAGGAGTTTGAGGTTGCTGTGAGCTAGGCTGATGCCACGGCACTCACTCTAGCCTGGGCAACAAAGCGGGACTCTGTCTCAAAAACAAACAAAAAAAAAACCACACCATACAATCCAAGAAAATGTCTTCAGTGACATGAGAATCTGAGAGTTAGGAAGATAATGAGCACTCGTGGAGACAACAGGACTGAAGTGGTCTAGGACGGTGCAAGTGAAGTGACCAACCCAACTCTTCCTGGGTTTTTCCTCATCCATCCATGGACGTTAAACCGAGAGAATTCACACCTGAGAGAGGGAGGGGACCCTGTCTTTCTGAGTGACAAAGACTTGGGTTCTTTGAATCTGTATGAGAGGCTTACAGTGTGAAAAAAAGGGATTTCTTCTTCTATTGTCTTTACACTTCAAGGAATACCTTTGACCAGTTTGAGTGTCTCCAATATTTCCCTGTTATGCAGAATGGTTCCCAGTTGTACATATGCTAACACCTTCTACATTGTACTATGTCTTCAGGAGCAAATCTAGAACTATAATTCTAGTTCAGTAGTATACGCACTTTAATCACTCTTAACAAATGTTGTCAGGCAAGTTTCTAAGTCATGAAGCCAATTCTACTTACTATTAATAATGAAAAATAAGATTCTCTTGTCAAATGTTTCCTTGCTCTAACTAGCCAGGAATATATTTCTCACCTGGGCATTTTGGATGAGTACTGGCATAGGGGGAGAAAAGGGCTCAGAAACCAGCTCAGAGGAACTGTATCAGTGGTTCCATGCAAGGACACTCAAGAGTGTACAGTGACCATGGACCGATATCCTCCCTCTCGACTTGCCAAAAGGTAGATGGATTTTGAACTGGAAAGACACGCTGAATGTCAAGAGGCAAACAGCAGTTGTTCAATTTCTCTAGAGGAGAGCAGTTATGTTACAGCGAATGTATTATCATTTAAAAATGAAAAGTCATTTATCAGATGAAAAACGTTTGACAGCCGTTGGCCCCAAAGCAAAGACAACATCACTCAATATATTATAAATCTGCTTTATTTGTAATTACAGAGAGAGAAAAAAGCAGAGAAAACACCACAGGAGTACAGACTCTGTACATCACAGGACTGGTCACTCGTGCCTTCATGGCAGCTGCCAGGGAGGGTCACACCGCTTATAAGGTGGGGGAGGTGGACCAGTAGAAATGAAATGGAAGTTCCCTTATTCTAGAACAAGCCCCAGGCAGCATTTTCTGGATGGAAAGGGCCAGAGTAGTTTTGTTCTAATGCTCAGCCTCAGAGATAGAACTTGGGCGGCAGGAGATGAATACGTTAGTAACTAAGTGACGCTCCAGTGCTGATGGATCATGATGTTAGTCCAGAGTTGACCTTATGATGGAGCAAAGGGAGCTCAGGAGGGCAGGTGTAGACAGAGAGGCAAGGGAGGGCACTCAGCATGCAGCCTCGGCTCCCACTCAGAGAGCAGGAGAGACCGGAGGCCAGGAGAGGCAAGCCACCTGGAGGGAGGGCTCTGCAGCCAGACAGGGGCCTGAGGCTGGGCACGAGGCTGGCGGCAGGACTTCAGTGCTTGTAGCTTTCTTGCTGGAGGAGGTGGTCGGTGTGGTGTACTTGATGGACGGAACTGCTGGCTGGCCACCCCCAAGGCCTCTGCCACTGCTGGAACTGAAGCCACCTCCAAGGCTGTGACCACCGCTGTAGGAGTAGCCGCTGCCTCCGCCAGGGCTGGCCACTGCCGACACCGCCGAGCCGCCGTAGCCGCCAGAAGACGGTGGCGACTGCACTACGGGCTGTGGTGGGAGGGACAAGGACACGAGAAAGACACGTGAGCTCCTTCTGGCCGGCCGCAGCCCACCAGAAGAGTGCCAGGGCCGGGGGACGAAGCAAGCAAGGGTACTACAGATGTTGACTTGTCCGACGCCTTCGGCCATTCAGCTAGAGGGAGGACACAGGCAGGATGAGAACTCGGGGAGCCATTCCCTGGGCCCGCATAGGAAGCTCCGTGTGAGCAGCAGTCCATGGGAAACTGCTCTTGCAGTTGTTTTGCAAGACTAGCAGTTATGGCCATGGCTGCTGTGCCCTACGCCGTGCCGGGGTGCCAGACATCCAGGTGTGCTCAGGTGCTTGAGCAGGTGCTCAGGACCCACCTGCACTCCTCGCCCTCCAGCAGCTTGCGGGTAGGTGCGATCTCCATGTCCCAGGCCAGTTCACGTTCTGAGCTCCTTTAGTCCTTCAGCAGCGGCATGTCTGCGTTGGCCCTTGCAGGGCGATCCTCCAGCCCTTCAGCTTGCTCCTGGCTCCTTCCAGGGCCATCTCCCGCTGCTCCGCGTCCGCATGGCGTCCTGCAGGTGGCACACTGGAAGGAAAGCAGAGTGACTGGATCCGGTGCCTTAGAGCAACACTCGCCTGGAACGTTCAGCGAGGAAGGTGCCGTGGACCCAACGATGGGAGGGTGAGTGAACCTAACTTCATCCTACTACTTTTCTTCGTGCATTTTTGTTGAGTCTTTGCTCGTTTTGCACAAACAGATACCCCTTTTCATTGAAGCCACCTGCATGAGAATGCGGATTGTTGCTGATGGCAGACGCTACAGTGGACATAAGACAAGAGTGGACATTGGAAAGAAATGGAAACTGCGTTTTGTTTGCCAAATGTTGTCCCCCACAGTCAGATCCAGACGTTATGAATATTCTCTGATGGACGCCCACTAACAACAACTTCTGACCACCTTTAAGTGAGGGATGAGTTTCTCACCGACGACTGCTGAGACTGCCCATCTTTCCGCGGGTCAGAGGGCTCTTGCTCACTTTGAGCAACCTGTGCTTGTCTATATGCCGCCTTTTCCTCTGTCTTTTTCACCCTGAATCTGAGCAGATTTGGCCACAGTGTGTCCTCAGGCTTTCTTGCCTGTCCTTGTCTTCCAAGTGTCCTTTGCCAATTTCCAAGTCAATCAGTGTCTTCTAAGTAAACCTCCATGCTCTAAACCAGTGGTTACCACCTTCTTGGCACCAGGAAATGGTGTCATGGTAAGGCAAGTGTTTCCAAGCAGTTTATGGACGGTGAAGTCAGGCAGTCATGCCAGAGGTGGGGAGTGGCTTCAACTAGGCTCTGGCTTGCCCACCTTTCCTCTCTGCTAGCACCCTGCCCTGTCCCGGGTTACAAAGTTTCATGGAAGACAATTTTTCCATAGAAGAGGTGGGTAGGGCAGGGCTTTGCAGCCTCATCCCCAACAGGCCCCATACTGGTACCAGTCCATAATGCGGGGGTTGGGGAGCGTAGCTCTAGACTGTATTTGTTAAAGCTCTGATTGGTTGGGATTGCTTCTGTCGACGTGCTGGTACCAGGCAGTAAGTCAGAGTCACATGTCCTAACCACTGGGGAAGTACATGTCCTCCTCTCCCTGCTGTCCCCTTAAACCAGGGGACCTCACCAATGAGGTCAATGACTGGCTGATGGTCTTGCAAGGAAGTGGTGCTTCTCTACACCACTGGCCCACACCGTACCTGCTTCTTGACGTGGTCGATCTCAGATCTCAACCTCTGGATCATGCGGTTCATCTCAGCAATCTCCTGCTTGGTGTTGCGCAGATCGTCCCCATGTCTGCCCGCGGTGACCTGCAGCTCCTCGTACTGCCGAGCAGAGGTAGAGAGAGAGACAGTATCTATGAGTTTATAAGGTGAACCATGACTTTCACTTCTGAATCAGGCGTGTGTTGAAGTTGAACCTGATGGTTTCTCCTCAGGGTATTTAATAAAAGTTGATTTTACAAGATGGAGAACTAAATGGTCTGGATAACCAAATCAAGACCGTCCTCATTATGGGTCCACTGAATGTCTCATCCTTTAGGGACTGGCAGTGCTCTATATACAACTCTAAGAGGGTGAAGCTAAAAGAAAGGATTCCTAGTGCTTATGAACATAAGCATCATCCCTGGTTTTCTTCTTAGACTTAGGCATAA